CGTCGCCGCGGCCGGCGCGGCGGCGGCGACGGGCCCCGCGCCGGCCAAGCCGGCGCCCGCGCGCAGCCGTCCCCCCGCGCCCGCGCCGCCGCCGCGGGCCAAGCAGCACCGGTCGCCGCCGCCCGACGCGGCCGCGGCCGGCCGGGCGCCCGCGCTCACGGTCCTCCCGCCGGAGGGCGAGCTGTAATTCTATGCGGCGGGGGGGGGCGCGCGACGGCGGAGCGCTGGCTCGTGAAGAGCGTCGCGCAGGCGCCCTCGGCCATTCCCTTTGGCGCCGGCAGGGTAGCCTCGGAGTCGCAGGAGTCGCAAGCGAGAAGGGAAACGAGGCGTCAACACGGCTTCAAGCGTCGAAGTCCTGGGCGATCGAGACGACGTAATAGCGGTCCGCCGCCCGTCGCAGCGCTGCTCAACAGAGATGGCGCGCGGCAACCAGGCGATCAAGTCGCAGGAGCGCAACGCCAAGGCGGCCGCCGCCGCCGGCAAGTCGCCCGAGGAGCGCGCCGCCGCGAAGAAAAAAGTGGAGCAGGACAAGACGGCGAACCAGTGCGCCGTCTGCAAGCAGACGTTCCTCGTCAACGCGAGCGACCTCCAGCTCTACCAGCACGTGCTGACGAAGCACGACAAGGACGCGTCGACGCCGGAGAAGTTCTTCCCGAAGCTCAAGGGCTACGACCCCAGCGCCAAGGCGGCGCCCGCGGCCGCCGCGAAGCGCGAGAAGATCGTCGAGAAGTCGAAGAAGCAGAAGAGCGGCGACGACCTCAGCGCGCTCCTCTCCGAGGGCCTCACGGTCGGCAAGAAGAAGGGGAATAAGAAGTGAGCCGCGTTATGACCGGGGGCGCGGCCCGGGGGCCTCACTTGCGGAGCGTCTCGAAGCGCTTCTGGAGCTCGTCGTAGTCCGTCGCCGCGTCGTCGGCCGGGCCGACGTGGGGGATGCGCGCGTGGAGGTCGTCGTCGGCGGGCGGCGGCGGCGGCGGCGGCGGCGGCGGCGCGGGCGCGTCCTCGTAGCCGACGGCCGGCGGGATGTCGAGGTGGTGCGGCGCCGTCGACGTCTCGTCGCCGCCGCCCTGCTTCGCCGCCGCGTCGTCGAAGGCGTCCGCGCCGACGCGGGGGATCGCCGGATCCGCGTCCGGCTCCAGCACGGCGACGACCGTCGCCTGGGGCGGCTGGCTGACGACGAGGGGCGGCGGCGCCGCCGGCGGCGCCGCGGCGCCGTAGGCGCCCGCGAGGTTCGAGCCCGGCGCGACGGGCACGGAGAAGCCCGACGGGCCCGGCATGGCCATCGCCGCTAAATCGCCCGGCGCCACGCCCAGGTCCGGCTCGGCCCAGTCCACGCCGTGCTCCGCCGCGATGGCCTTGAGGTACTCGACGACGAGGTGCGCGCTCGGCGGCGCGACGCCGAGCTTGTGGACGACGCGCGCGTTGACGCACTCGCACGCGTTCGTCCTCGCCGCTTCCGCGAACGCCTCGCCGTACTTGAGCTCGAGCTGGATTGCTACTTCTTTGAGCTCCGGCACCTCGCAGCGCCGCGACGCCCAGATGAGCGTGCAGAGCGCCTCGCGCATGTCCGGCGGGCACTCCTTCTCCGACGCGACGAGCGCGCACCGCTCGTGGAGCAGCTCGCACAAAAGCCCCACGAGCTCGTAGGCCTCGATGGTGAAGTCGAGGCGGATGAGGTGCTCCACGCGGATCCGCGCCTTCTCCTCCTTGCCGTCGCGCAGCAGCGCCGCGATGTCGCGCTTCTGCGTCTTGATCAAATTCGTCTTCTTCGAGTTGAGGATCGACAGCCGGTTCTCCGCCATCTTCAGGTGCGGCTTCAGCTTGTTCACGCGGAACCGCTCCAGGCCCAGGGACCGCAGGAAGCCGCCCATGGCGCCGGCGGAAGAGGGCGGCCGGGCGCGGCGGCTGGGCACTCCGCAAAGCCCCGCGCAAGTGCTTCGCGTCGCGCGTCGCGGCAGCGTCTTCGATGCACGGCACGGTCAACACGATGCACCAAGCTCACGATTCCCATCATTCCAGGCGCCGTCCAGTGCAGCCCCTCCGCCTCGAGAAGCCAACGACCGACGCATGCTGGGGTTTCAGTACACGCACGACATCAGCCTCAAGATCCTGGGCACGGGCGACGGCGCCGACAGCGACGACGAGCCCGAGCGCGGCGCGTGCGCGTCCGCCGGCGACGCCGCCGGCGGCGACCTCGGCCAGGTCATGGCGGCGCTCGCGTCGGCCCGGCGCGAGGCGGCGCGCGGCGCGCGGGCCCTCGCCGCGGCGCGCGACGACCTCGACCGCTCGGCCGCCGACGCCGCGGCGTCGCGCGCGGCGCTCGCGGCGAGCCGGCGGGAGGCCGCGGCCCTCCGGCGACAGCGCGACGCCGCGAACCTGCGGCGCGAGCGCGTCGAGGCGACGCTCCGCGCGGAGCGCGACGAGCAGGACCCGACGAAGCGCACGCTGCTGCGCATGGCCGAGAGCAGCGCCCGCGACGCGCACGCGGCGCGCGAGGACGCGCTCAGACTCCGCCACGAGGTCGCCGTCCGGGACCTCGAGCTCCGCGGCGCGCGCGACGCGCTCGCGGCGGCGTCGACGGGCGCGCCCCGCGCGCCACGGCGCCCGAGCCGGCGCGCGTCCTTCTTCGCCAAGCGGTCCGGCGGCTCGTCGTCCCTCTCGTCGTCCTTCGCGTCGTCCGCGTCGAATTTCTCCTTCGCGCTCCCGAGGCGCTCCGCGAGCGACGGCTCCCGCGGGAGCGACGCGTCGGCGACGCCGCCGGAGAGCCCGCCGCCGAGCGACGACGGCGTCGAGGACCCGCCGCGGCGCCGCCGGCCGTTCTTCCGCGGCGTCGAAGCCCGGGACCTCGACGAGCTCCTCACGCGCGAGAAGCCGTCCTGGCTCGACGCGGAGGCGCCCCAGCCCCTCGAGCGCCTCGACACGAACAAGCACTTCGGCTTCGGCCTCGGCGAGTTCGACGCGTTCTTCCGCGGCGCGCCCGCCGACGACGGCCGGCCGAACCTCGTCGCCGGCGACTAGGCCCGGCGTCGTTCCCCCCTCTCTTTACGTGTATGTTCCTTTGAGGTTGAAGTCCAAGTTGAAGCGGCGTTTAACATATCCCGCCGGCGGGATATGTTATCCTCCCTAGAGGAACGGCGCCCAGGGGTTGGCGACCTTGGCCGCGTCCGCGCCGGGCCGCGGCGCGAAGCCCCGGCTCACGAAGAGCGCGTCCCGGCGCCGCGCGGCCTCGAAGCCCGCGGCGCACTCCGCGCGCGCGACGTCGAGCGTGCGCTGGGGCCGGAGCTGCGCGAGCGTCAGCGCGTCGACCCAGGAGGCCGCCGCGTCGGAGGGCACGTCCGCGGCCGCGTCGGGCTGGACCGTGACCGTGCGCGCGTCGAGCCGCGGCGCGCCGGAGCCGCCGCCGAAGCCGCCGTCGAGGCACCGTCGCATGCGCGGCGTCGGGTTCCGGAAGAGCGGCGGGATGTGCATGGAGCACATGGCCGCGTCGAGGAGCTCGTCCATGGACGCGAAGCCGTCGACGAGGCGCACGCCGGCGCCCGACGGCGCCGTGAGCGCCGCGAGCGCCGGCGGGAGCGCGTCGCTGGCGTCCACGACGCCGAAGATCCGCGCGACGCGCGCCGTGACGGCGCGCAGCGCGCGGAGGACGCCGACGACGAGCGACGCGAGCCACCGGTTCCAGCCGAAGGGACACGGCGTCACCGCGACGACGAGGCGGGACCGCGCCGCCACGAGCGCCGGGTCCGGCGGCAGGCGCCGAAACAAGTCCCGGAGGCACCGCTCGTCGTCCCAGAACAGGCCGAGCGCGCGCGCGTTCCAGCGGCCGAGGCAGTAGGGCCCGTAGTCCCGCTCGAACCACGCGAACGGCTCGACGCCCGACGCTAAACAAACCCCGGGGTAGCATCCGCCCGACGTCACCACGATCCGCACGAGCTCGTGCGCGTAGCGCACGAAGACGAACTGGCAGACGCCGATGGCGTGCGTGACCTTCAGGCCGCAGGTGCCCAGCGACAGCGACGGCGGCGGCGGCGGCACGGTTGCGGCCGCGTCCGTGTCCGACACGTCCGTGTCCGCGTCCGAGGGCAGCCCCATCTCAGAGGGCTGGAGCACTAGCTGCCCGCCACCATGCTGCGCTGTAACGATGTTTGCGGAGAAGCGTCTGTTGCCGGCAAGGTGCCCGCCCGGCGCGCCGCGGGTGCGCGCGGCCGGGCGAGCGGCAAGATCTTCGGCGTCGGAAAGTTGCCACGCCCGGCATCCTCGCGCCGCCGCCATTGGCGCAATCAAAACCAACCCAACTCGCTCCATGGCCCTGCTGCTCCGCACGTCGCGCCCCCTGGGCCGGTCCCTGCGGCGCCTGAGCGTGGCGGCGTCGAGCGCCGAGCCCGAGCGCGAGGCGCACAAGGTCGTCAACGCGCCGTCGATCGCCGACGCCGTGCCCCAGCCGGCCTACGACGCGCCGTCCAACGCCTGCGGCGACGTGTCGGCGCGGCACTGGGAGGCGGAGTGGTCCACGGCGGAGATCGAGGCGGCCTCGCAGGAGAACGGCATGTTCACCTGGGGCCCGTCGGACCCCGCGCGCGCGGGCGCGCCGCTGATCGCGCGCGGCGAGGGCGTCTACGTCTACGACCGCGACGGCAAGCAGTACCTCGACTGGACGTCCCAGGCCGTCTGCGCGAACCTGGGCTACACCGTGCCCCCCAAGGTCAAGGCCGCCGTCATGAAGCAGTTCGACGAGCTGCCCTACGCGTACAGCGGCCTCGCGATGACCGAGGTCCGCGCGCGGCTCTCAGATTTGCTCGGCGAGCTCCTCCCCGGCGATCTGAGCGGCTTCATCTTCCCCTCGAGCGGCGCCGAGGCCAACGAGGGCGCCATCCGCATGGCCCGGCGCTTCACGGGCCGGCACAAGGTCGCGGCCGGCGTCCGCATGCGAGCGCCTTCCGCCGGGGCCGCGATCGTTTTCCCGACGCGACGTTTTTAGGTCATGACGCGGTACCGGTCCTACCACGGCGGCACGGCGACGACGATGGCGGCGACGGGCGACTTCCGGCGCCACTTCGCCGAGGCGGGCACGAGTGGCTTCGTGAAGATCGTCGACCCGACGCCCTTTGGCTTCTCCTGGGGCGACGACGAGGCGACGGCCTGCGCGCGCGCGCTCGGCGCTTTGCGGGAGCAGATCCTCATGGAGGGGCCCGAGACCATCGCGTGCATGCTCCTCGAGGCCGTGCCCGGCGCCGCGGGCGTGCTCCTCCCCCCCAAGGGCTACATGGAGGGCGTCGCGGCGCTCTGCAAGGAGCACGGCATCCTGCTCATCGCCGACGAGGTCATGACGGGCTTCGGCCGGTCCGGCGAGATGTTCGGCTTCCAGCACTACGCGATCCAGCCCGACATCGTCACCTTCGCCAAGGGCATCTCCGCGTCCTACATCCCCCTCAGCGGCATCGCCGTGTCCAAGGAGATCCAGGATTATTTCCGGACGACGCCCCTGGGCTACGGCGCGACGTACCAGGCGCACCCCGTGGCCATGGCCTGCGGCTACGAGGTCGTCAAGCACACGCTCGAGGCCGACGTGCTGGGCCACGTGCGGGAGCTCGCGCCCGTGCTCAAGGAGCTCATGCAGACCCTCGCCGACGAGCACGACTGCGTCCGCCAGGTCCGGTCCGTGGGCCTCTTCGGCGCCGCGGACCTCGTCAACACGTCGGGACCGGACGCGGGCAACCGCGTCTCTCCGCTCCAGGGCGGCGGGCCCAACGCGGCGAAGATCAACGGCTTCAAGCAGGCCATGCTCGACGAGGGGCTCATCAGCCTCTTCCGCAACTGCATGATCCACGTCGCGCCGCCCCTCGTCATCACGGAGCCCGAGCTCCGCGACGGCTTCGACCGCATGCACCGCGCGCTCAAGAAGGCCGACTTCTGAAGGTCCCCGGGCCGAAGCAGGTTCCGACCCCCCCGCCCCGCCCGCGCTCTAAGGACGCGATCGCCCCGACTCGCGGCCATCTCTACGCTCGTGGTACTCGTTTGGACCCCTCCAGCCGTCAAATTTCGCCAAAAAAGACCGGTTTTTACCTCGGATTGTATCGTGATATGCGCGTCTCCAGCTTTGATCGAGAGAACTGCTCGTCGAGTGTCTCGGCCTGGCGAGTTCGACAGATCTAGCCACAGATGTCGGCGATGATACCGATGCTTCGGTGGGTCGTGTTGGCTCTGTTGTGGCGGAGCGGGCGTGGAACATTCCGGCACGGGCTCGCCGACGCGGGACCGCTCGACGCGCACGCCGACGCGGGACCGCTCGACGCGCGCGCCGACGCGGGGCCGCTCGACGCGCTCGCCGACGCGGTGCCGCCCGACGCGACCGCACGCGCGGGTGGGGCGGCGTGCGCGCCGTGGAAGGGGCGGAGCGACGTGAGCGCGTGCGCGCCGGCCGCGATCATCATCGGCGGGCAGAAGTGCGGCACGACGGCGCTGCTCGAGTGGCTCGACGCGCACCCGGCGCTGCGCGGCCCGGGAAAGCGACGGCTCGTGCACGAGATGCACTACTTCGACCGCCGCGCGAAGCGGACCCGCTTCTTCTCCGCGAACTCGAGCTGGGACGACTACCTCTCGCACTTCCGGCGGCCGGCGGCGGGTCCCAGCACGCTCGCGATCGAGAAGACGCCCAACTACCTCTCCGACCCCGTCGCGGCGCACGAGCTGCGCGCGACGCTGCCGGGCGCGCGCGTCGTCGCGCTTCTCCGCGATCCCGCGAAGCGCGCGTACTCCGAATTCTGGCACAACTGCCGCAGGAAGCACTGGGCGCTGGCCTCGGGAGACGGCGCCGCCTTTGGGAGTCTCGAGATGCGCGTCGACCACGTCGCCAAGGCCCAACGCCCGGAGTGCACCGCCGAGCTGTACGAGGCGTACCTCGAGCGCCGCGGCGCGCGCGCGGGGCTCGACGGCGCGGACGCCGCGCTGGCCGGCGCGCCGACGCTCGCCAAGTCGCTGTACGCGCTGCACCTCGCGCGGTACGCGCGTCTGTTCGGCTGCGACGCGCTCTACCTCACGCTGAGCGAGGAGTTCTACGCGCGCCCCGCCGCCGTCGCGAACGACGTCGCGCGGTGGCTCGCTGCGTGGAAACCAAATCTTCGACCCGACTTCAATGTGCGCGTAATCGAACGGTTTGGACCAGCTTCTTCGGCTGAGCTTCGAGAACTCAACGAGAGCAATCGATTCGTCCAAAAATCAGCCGAATCGACTTCGATTTGACCGAGATAGAGAGTTCTGAAGTTTGGTGGGGACCCCCCAAACCAGTGGTTGATTTCCACACAGGTGGCTCGGGCTGCCGCCGCACCGGTACCGCGTCGCGCGCGCGCGCAACGCGCGCGGCTACGCGGAGCTCTGCGACGGCCGCCGGTCGTCCGGCCCGTCCAAGTCGGCCGTCGAGCCCGAGTACCCGCCGCCGACGCCGCGGACGCGCGACATCCTCGCCGCGCGGCTCGCGCCCACGGTCGCCGCGCTGCGCGCCGCGTTCCCGCAGCTCCTCGACCCCGATCGCTGGGCGCGCCATCCCGACCGCCAGACCATCGTGGACGCGGGCCGCCAGTGCGGAGCGTCGCCCGGCCTCTTCACTACGGCCGATGAGCGAGCGGCGAGGCAGGAGATCGCCGGCGACTGCGCCGGTCACGGTACGAACAAAACGAGCGCGCCGTCGCGCAAGCACCATCGGGTGACGAGTGGGGGAAATCGAAATCGCACAATCGTAAGGCGTTTAACATATCCCACCGGCAGACCCGCGCGGAGGAGGTCGGGCGCCGCGGCGGTCGGGTCAGCGACCGGCCGCGGCACCGTCATAATCGCGCTTTCCGGGCCCGCCCGGCGGCCGGGCGCCTAGACGACGCAGGCGCCCGCGCCGCCCTCGACGCTCGAGCACACCTTCGCGGTCGACCCGGCGGCGCAGGCGCCGGCGACGACTTTGTCGTAGGTCGGCGACGTCAGCGCCTTGTCCGCGATGGCGACGGCGGGGATGTACGCGCTCCCGGGGTACTGCGCGTTGAACAGCTTCGCGGCCTCCGTGAGGAGGTCCGTGGCCTCGCCGCTCGCGAAGCAGGTCATGACGTCGTCGGCGCTCACGCCGGCCTTGGCGGCGCAGGCCGCCGCGAGCTTGGGCGCCGTGGACCAGTCGGTCTCGTCGGCGCACGCCACGAAGTCCACGGCGCACCCGTTCGTCGCGCCGGCGAGCGTCGCGCCGCAGAGCTTCATGGCGCACGCGATGGTCTTCTCCGCGTCGCAGCCTTTTTCGTCGACGCAGTTGCCGCCGACGGACCGCACGGCGGGGACGACGCGGAGCGTGTCCGTGGCGTTGAAGGCGGCGAAGAGCTTCGGCAGGCTCGAGCTCGAAGGCCCGGCACCCGGGTCACTCGGCGCCGAAATAGTAATCAATGTCGACGGCCTGCGCCGCGGCGAGGAGCACGAGGACCTGCTTGAGCATGGCGGCAGCGACGAAGGCGGAAACGCACACGATTCGGACGAAGGGCAGCCCTTCAAACGCGCCCAATCAGCTCGCCGGCCTCGAAGGGATGTTGCACAGCAAGCCGCCGAGGAGCGCAGGATGGGTGCTTCCTCACGCTTCGGCGTCGCGCTCGCGCTCGTTTCGGCGCTCGCGGTCCGCGGCGACCCCGGCGCGACGGGCGCGCCGAGCGCGTCGCCGCTGCCCGCGCCGAGCGCTGCGCCCTACGCCGCGCCGACCGCGCCTTCCTCGCCCGCGCCGACGGCCGCGCCGTTCTCCGCCCCAAGCGCGTCGCCGTCGCCCGCCCCGAGCGCGTCGCCGTCGCCCGCGCCGACGAAAACACCGCACGCGACGACTTCGACGCCGACGACGCCGGCGCCGACGACGCCGGCGCCGACGACGCCGACGCCGACGCCGCACGCGACGCCGACGCCGACGACGCCGGCGCCGACGAAACCGACGACGCCGCCGCCGACGACGCCGGCGCCGACGACGCCGCCCCCGACGGCCGCGCCGGCGACGGCCGCGCCGTCGCCCGCGCCGTCGCTCGCGCCGACGATGAACACCATCGGCCTGCGCAACTCCTGGAGCTTCATCCTCAGCGTCGTCCAGCTCTACGCGTGCTTCGGGGCCGCGCTGCTCGCTTTGTTCGAGGGCGGCCGCCACCTCGGCTACTGCTACGCGTCGCGCGCGGGCGACACGGCGCGGCGCGCGGCGGCCCACGGCCCCCGCGGCGACCGCGCGGCCGTCTTCGCGCGGCGCTGTGTGGAAATCAAATATTCAATCTGACTTCAATGTGCGCTTATGCGACAGTCTCGATGCAAGCGCTTCGGCTGTGCTTCGAGAACTCGACGAGAGCAATCGATTCGTCCAAAAATCAGCCGAATCGACTTCGATTTGATCGAGATAGAGAGGTTTGAAGTTTTTGCTGAACAGGGCGTCCCACTGGTTGATTTCCACACAGGCGCGGCGGTCGCGGCTGCCGCTCGGCTGGGCCAAGGCCGCGCTCCGGTGCCCCGACGAGGCGCTCGTGACGCTCCACGGCCTCGACGCCTTCGCGTGCGTCGCGTTCCTCCGCCTTTGTTTGCGGCTCGCGCTCGCGGCCTGCGGCCTGTCGTGCGGTTGTCTCCTGCCGCTCTACTACCTCGTCGCGCGCGACGCGGGCGAGTACGCGGGCGACGACTTCCTCGACGACGAGGCCGCGCGCGAGCGCCACGCGTTCCTCCGCCTCACGCTCCGCGCGGCGATCTCGAGCCGGAGCGCCGACGGGCCCGGCGACGCCGTCGCCGACGTCGCGGCCGCCGCGGCCGTCGCCGTCGCCTGGGCGCTCGCGCTCGCCGCCTACGCCGCGTGCCGCGCCGCGTACCGGAGCCACCGCGACGCGCGCCTCGAGTGGATCTTGCGGGGCGACCCGGACTGGCCCCGCGAGGCGACGTACACGGTGCTGCTCCAGCACCTGCCGCCGTCGCTGCGCGACGACGCGGCGCTCGCGCGCCACCTCGAGACGCTCTTCCCGGGCGCCGTCGCCGCCGCGCGCGTCGTCCCGGGCGCCGGCGGCGGCGGTTCGTCGACGGGCGGACGGTCCTGCGTCGCGGCGGTCTACGACGCGCTCCCGCGGCGCCGGGGCTCCGTCGTGCGCCGCGCGCGGCTGTCCACGGAGGACGGCCTCGACTGCCTCACGGACGCGCTCGTCGACCGGACCGAGGGCTTCCTGGAGACCGAGGACGGCGACGACGAGGTCGAGGTCGAGGCCTACGCGGACGACGCGCGGCGCCGCGGCGGCCAGAGCGGCCAGCTGCCCCTCTTCCTCGAGGAGCTCTACCTGCTGAGCGTGGGCCGGACGTCGCGGTCGTCGGCCTTCGCGACGTTCCGGACGCTCGGCGCCGCGGCCGTCGCGGCCTCGACGAAGCTCAGCCACCGCGCGTTCACGACGCTCGGCGAGCCGGCGCCGGCGCCGGGCGACGTGCTCTGGCGCAACGCGGCGAGCTCCCTGCGGCAGCGGCGGCTGCGGACGTGGGTCGTCGACTTCGTCGCCGTGCCCGTCGCCGGGGGGCTCTGGGTGTCGTTCATCTCCTACGTCGGGCTCGCGCTCCAGTCGGACGCCGCGCGGCGGTGGTGCGGCTCGAACGTCGCGCCGCTCCTGCTGCCCTTCCTGAACGCCAACGCCGTCGAGGGCATCGACGACGACGACGCGCTCCAGCGCGCGGCGGCCGACTTCGCGGCGAAGACCTTGGCGACGGGCGTGGGCCTCTTCTCGCTGCTGGCCGTGCCGTGGGTCGCGTACGCGCTCGCGGCGTGCTACGAGCGGCCCCTGAGCCGCGGCGCGGTGCAGGTCTTGGTGTTTCGCCGCTACGCCCTGTTCCAGTTCCTCTGGATCTACGTGTCGCTCATCTCGCTGAGCGTCGAGGGGCTCGGCGAGCTTTTAGCGAGGAACCCGCGCGACGCGCTCGAGCTGCTCTGCTCGCGCATCGCGGAGGCGTCGGGCTACTTCGTGTCCGTGCTCGTCATCAAGGCCTTCTTCGGGCTGGCCTGGGAGCTCGCGCGGCCCTGGCCGCTGTTCTCGAAGACCCTGGCGCGCTACGTCGCGCGGAGGCGGCGCCTCGCGCGGAACCCCTTCGACGACGGCGACGAGCTCGCGTGCCCGGCGGACCCGGCGCGCTACGGCTGGATCCTGCCGAACGTCGTCGTCGTGGCGTGCATCCTGTTCACCTTCGCCGTGATCACGCCCCTGCTGACGCCCTTCGCGGTATTGTACTTCGCCGGCGCCTACGTCGTCTACAAGCACCAGCTCCTCTTCGTCTTCGCGCCGCCGGCGCAGCTCGGCGGCGCGTTCTTCCCCCTGCTGCTCCAGGCGCTGCTCAACGCGCTGACGGCGTCCCAGGTCGTGCTCTTCGGCTTCTTCCTCTCCGCGCAGGCCTGGGGCCTCGCGTCCTTCGCGTTCCCGCTGCCCTTCGTGTCGCAGCTCGTCGCGCTGAGCCTCCGGAGCGGCTACCACGACGCGCTCCGGGGGCTGCCCCTCAACGTCGCGCGCCACGTCGACAAGCACCCGCGGGCCCGCGAGCCCCACGCCGGATCCTACGCGGGGCCGGGCGTCGCCGCCGCGGCCGCGGCCGTCGAGAACCCGCTCCGCCGCGCGGACCCGCCGCCGTCCGCGCCCGACGACCGGCCCGCGTCGGCGT